TTTTTTGGAAAATTGAAGCAAATTGTATAAATGATAATATGCAAATATCATAATATGTAGAGTGTATTATGACGGGCCCAAAAAATAATAATAATAATAATAATATGACAGGCCTAAGAACAAGGCAGAGAAATTAGCCTAGGCTACAGTACATATCCCAGCCCAAGACAAGGAAAAACCCAACTCTAGTTTCATTTCTTGTAATTATTGTCTATTTTCGAAGTGAACCGCTGTAGTTTTCCTAAGAATTTTGAGCAATACCAAATGGGCAATAGTCAAGCGGGTGCAAACTCATCTCTTCAAATGAAAGTTAGGGAGTTTGAGATTCAGTAGAGACAATGGGTGTATGAGTTTACTTTAACCTACCAAAAAATAAAAAAATTAAATTTGAGCATTTAAATTATTGGTAAACACCCCTGTTTGGACTAAATAAACTCTATATATTATACGATTGTGATAGCCTTTATCATGCTTAGACCAATTAAGCTCTACATATTGTACCATTGTAACAGCCTTTATCGTGCATGGTACAGGTTAAAAGCTAGTGTAAGAGAAATTTTTGTGAAAAACCAATGCTTTAGACACTCTTTTCAATTACCTTTGAGAGTACTAACTTAGTGGTATTTTCTCCTCTTCCAAAATGGAAGGTTGAATGTTTAATTTTTCATAGCAAAATGAGCGTTTGAGTTTTCTGTCAAAAAATAAATAAAAAAGTAAAAAAGTCTCCCCCCAAATCTAATGACGTTCTTTTAAAATGCATGCCGACCTAATCCTAGCGGCCTATAGGTAAATCTGTCAATGGATCAGATTCAGATTCAAATCTGATATGATTATTTGGATATGAATTGAATGAAAAACTCGATAATAATCTGAATTCGATACTCCGTTAGCTTAATAAATCGGAAATGGATTATAAGTAATTTGATCTGATAATGCTACGATCCGATTAAAATTATATATATATATATACATATGTTTATACATATATATATTACAATATACTATATACAATTGTTATATATATTAGTTATTTACTATTAAATTTATATATTAATTTTCTATCATTAGAATTAGATTTATTTGGTTGCATGGTTATAGTATGCGCCATCTTATATATTAATGATTCTCCTCTCAATCTACTAAGGGTAGTAATTCATATTCGCGGGTTGTAATCGTGCTGTGTCAACTTAAGGGTATTCTACTAAATAACTCAACCCGAACACGACCCGTTTAATAATTGTGTCAGGAACCCTCAACACTAACCCGACCTATTTATTAAACGAGTTACACGTGTAACTCGTTTAATGACCTGTTTAATAAAATCAAATATTTTATTATTTAAATTATTAATAATACTTGATCAAACATTAAATACTAAGAATATATAAATTTCAATCTAACCAAATTAGTAAATAATTTCTAATCTATAAAAGAATAAATTATAAGATACAAGTTTAGATAATTATTTTGAAATTTAAATAGAAATTTGCTTATGATACATATAGTTAAACGGGTACACTGGTTGAACCCCTCAAACCAAATATGACACGATTAACTAAACGGGTTAATCGCGTCGACCCGTTTACGACCCAAACCTGTTTAAAGTCAATTCAAACCCATTTAACTCGTGTCGTGTTAAACTTTGTCACCCCTACAATTTACCCTTATAAAGGCATGCTTTTAATCCGAATCCGATTTGATCCAAATTTGAGCCAATTAAGATATGGGTTGAATTTAAACTTTCAATTCGATAACTTATTAGCTGCACAAATCAAATGTGGATATGGCCGATTCAATTCGTTGGCAGACCTACCTATAGGCGAAATATACAATCTGGGCCCAATATTCTTGATGAGGTGGTGTTGCGTAATTTGTCAAGCTTATAACTTGCATAAAAGGCATAAAGACAAATTTTTATTTTTATTTTATAAATAACTCCCACAATATTCTTGAATCTTAATTATTTTGGAAGGAGATGAGCCATAAGCCTTAGTGTAAAAATACTTCTTTTAATTTATAGCATGTTGCATGCATTAACCTCTCTTGAGTTGAATGAATACCTTGTAATAAATTCATTAGAGAGTTACATAATTAAAGAGGAAGGGAAAATAATACTGGTAGGTTTGGAACACGACCTAAGATCCCGAATAAAACACGCCCTACGGCTGGGCAAACATACACCTGAAAAATTATAAAATATTAGATTTACTATTTGTCTTTTCAAATTAATCCTTTCCCGATAACCCTAATAATACCATTTTATAAAGATGTAAAGGTCAATAAAATTTTTGAAACGTGTTAATTTACTCAAAAAATTTACTTACAAGGAGTAATGTATTAGTTGACATGGGAAAAAGTGGACAAGGTGACTGACTCTTTTGCAGAATAAATAAGGTCAGACGTTCCTACTTGGAAAATGATACTATTGCTGAAATAATTGACAGCAATATCCAGGAAAGAGAGACAAGCAACGTTATCCATTGGGATGGCAACGGGATAATTTTGGGCTAGTGTATTCTTTTTCATCTCCATAATTGTTTAAGAATTTTTATTTTGTTCTCATTCAAAATCTTCTAAATAAGAACCTTTCCACCTCATTCTCGCCCGTTTAACTTTTTTATCTCCGTATGCACCTGCTCCGTTTAGTTTCAAAATTTCTATTCATTTTTTAATTTTTACCCTTAAATACAATTATATAACTATTAAAAAAAATCATAAAAAATGGACAATCAATAATTTAACATAAAATTTAAGAGTACAAACGTTCTTAGTTCGTAAGGCTTTATCGCTCACTAAAACGGTTGAGAAAGTGAGTGAATGTGATTTAAGGTTTCTAAAGTTAATTATATATATATACTAATAAAATAAGAATAATTTAATAATTTATTACCTAAACGGGAGGGACGGGATGGGGTGACCTCTCCGTCCAACCTGCGAGAATTTTCATTCATAAAAATCATCTCCGACCAAATAAGTTGAACGGTCCCCAAAACTACTATAGACAGGATTGGGTGGGGCAAGTACCATTCCCGCGAGGCAAATTTGCATGTTTCAAAGTTGCTAAATTTGCATATAAAGTTGAATATAAATAAAAACTTATGTTATTTTTTAGCTCAATACTTTCCATCATAAAATTCCGGACTTGGCCAGGCGATTATCCAACCAAGTCAAACAGATTTGTTTTAGAACTTAAATGGATGGGACATAGTTTTGGGCACCAACAGCTCGTCAAAAGGAGAAGTCAACATTCTTGAGTAACTTCAATGAATATTTGGCGAAATCTTATTGAAGAAAATTTAATATAAATTTTAAACTAAATTTATTTCAACCTTAAATTTAAACATAACATAAAAATAATTTATTGATTAAATCACAATTATTGCATATAATTGAGGGTTATATGAAGAACCACGTCTCATGAAATAAATATACAAACATATTTCTTGTTACGAAAAAAAAAAAAAAAAAAAAAAAAAAAAAAAAAAAGAAAGAAAAAAAAAGAAAAATTATACAATGTGACCAAGTAAATAAAAAATGAATGGAATGCCTTCTATCACACCTTATTATCATGACACAAATTGTGACCAAGTAAACAAAATATGAATGGAATGTCTTCGAACCTTTGTCAAACCTTATTATCATGGCTCAGATTGTGTGACCAAGTAAACAAAAAATGAAGACAACTGTCATTTCTTATCATCATGATGTAGATCAAAACAGTCAAGTTGTCCAAAAATTCCTTATTACGACTCTTCTATTTTAACCATTATTTACATTAATACCTTCTCCTCCTTTTTTTCATCGTAACTTGTTCAGCTCAAACTCACAACATCATGCATCCAAGCCACTTGCCAAGAGGGGACTGAGTCCGGGTCTTTCATAGCCACACACGGCCATAAAAAATGATCACTATTGCTGAAATTATTGACCGCAAGATCTAGGAAAGAGAGACAGGCAAATATTATACAGATTATTTTTTACCCATACTTCACAGCCCATTCAAAGTAGGGCATTATTGTTGTTCGCTACATTTGCGGATAAAGTTGACTACAATTAAAAACATATGTTGTCTCAATTTTTAAGAAAAATATTGGTTATGCCTGCAAGACTTTCCACCATAAAATCCCGACTTGGACCAAGCAAATTATTATTGTTATTTTCTGAAGCCATTAAAACAAACACTAAGAGGAAACATAAGGAAGATCCACCTCAAAAGCAAAACTAAGAGGAACCAGACTTGGACCAGGCAATTCTCCAACCAAGTTAACCGACCTGTTTCACAACTTAAATGGATAGATCAAGAATGGATAATGTTCCAATCACTTGAGTGGATGTGTGCAGGTGGCACCAGTAAACTATCATAATGAACGAGTTACAGGTGCAAAATTTCATATCGCCTGGGAGTGGATTGGGCAAGTGGTAAATGTAGATTCAATATCTTTCTATAACACAACGTTATTCTAAAGTCGTGATATCCGTGAATTTTGCACCATAATGGGTGACTCCTGAAAAGTCTTTGATTCAGAGAGTCAAAAATGAATAATATTGTGTCTGGATAAAATGGGAGTTGTTACAAATAATTTACAGGTTAAACCAATAATCTAGAGTTATATTAAAACAGTGTACATGCAAAAGAACTGTATCTGCTCAAGAATTATAGGATACTCTAAGAGAGGACAATAGTCAATACTACAATCATGGTGAAAAAAAACACTTGGGAGACGCGTGCTTCCGAAGATGAGTTTCATTCGAAGGGCAAATAATAAATATACCCCTTTACCGAAGTAAATAATAGTAATAATAATAATAATAATAATAATAATACAAACTAAATTGTGACCAAGTAAACAAAAATGAATGGAATGTAAATCTTCAGACGGTAGCCATACTTTATTATCATGACGTACCATATCAATTTCCTGAGTGCAAAGAACATCTGGTCCACTTTGGCTGGCTGATGATGGGTGGCTCAGCTATATAAATGATAGTTACTATCACATTAATTCTTGTACAAAAGCCCATCTGTAAAAGAAAAAGAAAACAGTGTAGAAACATGTCTCATATGATGTTTTACCTCTCGTCTCTGCTAATCTTAGCAGCCCTGCAAGGAACCAATGCAGTCGAATATAGTGTCACCAACAAGGCCAGCACAACTCCTGGTGGCATTCGATTCGAGAACAAAATCGGAGCTGCATACAGCAAGCAGGCACTCATGTCTGCCACCACTTTCATATGGAGGATCTTCCAGCAGACCAACGCGGCATCCAGGAAGAACGTGCCCCGCGTCAGCTTATTCATCGAAACCATGGATGGAGTTGCATATACTTCCAACAATGAGATTCATGTCAGTGCAAACTACATACAAGGTTATTCAGGCAATGTGAAGAGGGAAATCACTGGTGTCCTATATCATGAGATGACACACGTATGGCAGTGGAATGGGAATGGGCAGACACCCGGAGGACTGATTGAAGGTATCGCCGATTTTGTCAGGTTGAAGGCAGGGTATGCGCCTAGCCACTGGGTGCAGCCCGGGCAGGGTGACCGGTGGGATCAAGGGTACGACGTGACAGCCCGGTTTCTTGATTATTGTAACAGTTTGAAGGGTGGGTTTGTGGCAGAACTTAACAAGAAGATGAGGACTGGTTATAATGCCAACTACTTTGTTCAGCTGCTGGGAAAGACAGTTGATCAACTCTGGAGTGACTACAAGGCCAAGTATCAGAAATAGGCATGTATGTGTAGTTATGGCTAAATAAACTCAGTCTTGTACTAGTGACACTATCATATAAAGTAAATAAGTTGCCCAAATAAAAAGGGAATGAAATATTATTGAAAAAGCATGGTTTGATTATTACTACTTTCCTAACTTTGAAAAGCAAAATTGATGTTTTCACATTAAAAGCAATTAATAGGAAGTAAGTGAATCAGCGTTTTGGAAATGAAAAGTGCATCAAAACATGGTTTTGTCAATTTCCCATCTTCCTCTCAAGCATAAACTCTCGATTTCTACACTCATCTTTTCACATCATATGAGCTGCTGATTGATGAGAAGTCCTGTATTGCATATATAATCAAATGAAATCACCAAGCATAAGAAACATACAAGAATCCCAATTTACCTGCAACTAGTTGAGAGGCATGAAGAAGATAATGAGAGACTCAGAATTAAAAAATAAAAATAAAAATTAAAAAAATAGAACTTCTGGCCAGGGCCGGCTTGATGCACTTTGATGCCTAAAGCGAAATTGCTAAATTCAGGCATCTCACGTTAATTATATTAATACAATACTAATATTTTTTATTTTAAGAAATATTATTCACTCTTTTCATGTGATTAGTTCAAGGAAATATAAAAACACTATTTACGAGCAATGGATGGGTAAGGGAGTCAATAAATTACAAGTCCAAAAGAAACATAGTGTTGAACAAGTATTGATACGCAAGAATCTAAAAATTAAAAGAATTTGAAAACGTGTGAGATTGTTGAGGGAAAAATTGAAGTAGGATAAAACTTTTCAATTAAAAGAAACTTGTATTGACCGATAGAAGAGGGGTTGTATATATTTGATAATTAATACAATAAACGAAGCATAGTTAATACATTAAAAGAAATATATAAGTAATATGATGAGATTACCTTTATGGGTGCATCAAACACCATTTAGCTTGAATGGTGGTGCAGTTGCTATCACAGGGGTGTCAATAGAGTTAGAAATTCTTCCACCATTTAGACAATTAATAAATTAAATAAGAACTCAGTCGTATATATCCTTATTTATCATGATGTGAGTCTTGAACTCGCAACCTCATTTGCCTTGAGTACATAAACATAAATTTGGTCCATATATGATTAGATTTACACTGGAGTACATGCTGGCATGCACCTAGTCCAAGTCAAAAGACAGAATGTTTATTTTTTTCTAAGCTTTTGTTACAATAGATAACAATCATTTCAAGATAACTCTCATGACCATGACAACAATTTTCAAGTGCAAGCACTAACCTCGTTGGTCATAGACATTTATTCTCTCTTTCGGAGATTGGGCTTAAACACCACTAAAACTCACATGGAGACTAAAAAAAACACACACACACACACAAATATTATATGTTATCGACTACAGTAGTATAAAATGACTTTATAATGCAGACAACTTGAATTGCTCGGGAAGAGAAACTGCAATGCCAAATATAATAAATAGGCCAAAACATACACACAAGCAAATCTAATAAAATCAGCCAGAGTAGTCATTTTTCAAGAATTCACTGCAGTTTACACTTAAATGATATTCTGAATTCTACTATATCAACTAGAACTTGTAGAATTTACTTAGGGAATAGATCAAGAAATCAAGAGAATCGAGCGAAAATCAAGTAAAATCAAAAAAAAGAATTATGAAGAAAGAGTAAATAATTTCGATTAGATTGAGGCAGCCAAAGTATCAATTTGCTCTACAGGTTTTTTTTTTTCTTCATTATTCCTAAAGATGTTTCTTCCACAATTATGGATTATTATCAGAAATTTATTGGGCACTCCCTCGAGGAATCCTTATACTGGAAGAGACTCTCTTACTGACATATCTGACAAACACCTCTCTAGTACATTGATTTCCAAAGTGTCTAATCCTACTTTGCTCAAGGATTTCACACACATAGCTCGTTGCAACACTCTATGAATGTGTCTAAATCAAAAGAGTACTGGCACTCTGTTATTGCTCAACTGTTTTGCGTTTTGCTGGTGTTTGTCGTAACTAAGGCAAATCTTTTAAAGGGAGAAGCATTTGGGACAACAAAAACCCTCAAGATTAGGTTCCCATTTTTAGCCTTGACACCATGGTAAAGTTGCTCTATTGTGATCCGGAGATTACGGGTTCGAACAAGAAAACAGTCTCTCTGCATGCAGAAGTAACTTCTCTACACCAAGCAATAGTGGATATCGTGCATTGGGTTTGCCCTTCATTTGAGTTTTGCTAAGAATATTCTTCAGGGGGCAATCTTTAATAGCTAATATATATATATATATATATATATATATATATATAATTTGAACCAAAACAATATATGAAAAAATTAAAACATTGATTTTTTCAGATTATTCATTACTATTTCGAAATTGAGTTCATTTAATTAAATATACTAAATAAAATCATATTCAATGAATCAAGAATAAAACATGAAAAAGAAAAAGAAAATAACATAGTTACCGGTTCTAATATATCACATATGTAAAAATAAAAAATAAAAAAAAAATCCATGATAACAGTTACTCGTGATTTCATTGATTTGGGCTGCAAATAAAAACAAATTCTAAGTGTTATTTAGAGAATAATAATTAGTAACACGATTACACAAACTAAATTTTGAAAGAACAAACAAGCCCTAATTTTGATAGTAATGACTAATAAATTTTCTAATTAAAATTATAATATGAAATAATAATGGTAAATTTATATAATAAAAAAATAAAAATAAAATCAAATTACCTCCACATCGCAGTAGGACTCTTAGTCATTCTGTCTACTGGTAAATGATTGCTCCACTTACCTTGTTTGGATTGTGAAAAATGTTGAAAATTGAAGATATAACGTAAACAACCCATTTGTTTGTGATAAAGTAAAAAGTGTGATAGAATATCAGGAAAGAATATAATATTATATTTTAAGGAAAGTAATAAATTGATATAATATTTACAATTATGTGATGATTATATTCCTTTGTTTTGTGTCTCTATTTTTTTTTTTTTTTGGGTGTAAAACCGTGAATGAGTTTTTGATTATATATATATATATATATATATAGTATGAGGAGTGTTCACCTACTCAATGGTGTGCAAGAAATTTATACACGAATTAAATCATTACCGTTGGATATAAAAACATAAACTACCTTTTTAACTGCCAAATAGAATCTGACGGTTAATACTTCAGGTGTGCATGCATTTTCTTGCACACGAGAGAACAAGAGAACAATTATGTATATATCACATTTTAGAGGGAACAATAATACAAAAATAAAAATCTTTTCATATAAAATTTAAAAAATTTACAAGTTGAGTGGAGGCAATTGCCCCCACTTGTCCTATGTGGCGACGCCATTGGTTGCAAGTTGGCTTCTCCAATTTGATTGTTGGATGAGGTTTGGTTTCTTGGAAGATGTTGTTGTCTTTTACCGCCTTTGCTAGGCTGGTGGTTGACTGCTTTGTCTGATGTATTCTGTTTAGTTGGTTATGTGTGACTAATTTAAAATTATAAAAGTGGTCAGTGAAATAAGGAAATAAAAAAAAAAAAAATGTTAATCAAAAGGCCTCTTTTATAATTTTTGCCTAAAGTCTCAAATTACATTGAGCCGTCCCTGAACTAGAATCATATAAAATGACTTTATAATACAGACTACTACTTGAATTGCTGGGGAAGAGAAACTGCAATGCCAAATATAATAAATAGGCCAAAACATACAAACAAGCAAATATAATAAAATCATCATAACAGAGTAGTCATTTTTCAAAAATTTACTGCAGTTTACACTTAAATGATATACTGAATTCTGCTATGTCAACTAGAACTTGTAGAATTTACTCAAAAAATAGATCAAGAAATCAAGAGAATCGAGCGAAAATCAAAGAAAACAATTATGAAGAAATAGTAAATAACTTCGATTAGATTGAGGCAGCCAAAGTATCAATTTACTCCAAAGGTTTTTGTGTTCATTATTCCTAAAGATGTTTCTTCCACAATTATGGATTATTATCAGAAATGTATTGGGCACTCCCTCATGTAATCCTTATACTGGAAGAGACTCTCTTACTGACAAAATTGACAAACACCTCTCTAGTACATTGATTTCCGAAGTGTCTAATCCTACTCAAGGATTTCACACCCATAAAGGGATAAGCATTTGGGACAATAAAAACCCTCAAGATTAGGTTCCCATTTTCAGCCTTGACGCAACGGTAAAGTTGTTCTATTGTGACCTGAAGGTTATGAGTTCGAACAAGAAAACAACCTCTCTGCACGTAGAAGTAAGACTGCGTACATCTGATCCTCTTTCACACCCAGCAATAGCGGACCTCGTTTGCCCTTAATTCATTTGAGTTTTGCTCTTGTTGCAGGTCATTTTGGTCGTTGAATGAGGTTTGGTTTCTTGGAAGATGCTGTTGTCTTTTACCTCCTTTGCTAGGCTGTTGGTTGACTGCTTTGTCTAATGTATTCTGTTTAGTTCGTTATGTGTGACTATTTTCTTGTTGTTTGTAGGTGGTTTCTAGTTTTTAGATCTGTCTGTTTGTCAAGCTTGCTTAGCCAGTGGTGGTTGTTTTTTACTTCTAATAAATTGTATTTTCATAAGAAAAGTATTTCTTTTCATTATATACTTGTTTCCACATTGCTCTGTCATCATATTTGCTACTTAAATCTTCAATCAACAGCAGGTTAGCTGTTGGCCTATACTAATAAATAAATCATCATGAGCTTTTCCATCATTCTATATGTTCTAAAACCTACTTCCTTATATTTTTGCTTATGACCAACCTGTCTATTTTGGCTGCCTATAGGTAGCTCAGTGATATATAAATGATAGTGAAATGACAAACTTGTGTACCAAAGCCTACTCGCAAGAAAAATAATAAGAAAGGATTCTGGAACCATGGTTTGCATGATGTTCTACCTCTCTTCTCTTGTAATAATACTAGCCGCAATGCAGGGAATCCATGCAGTCGAATATAATGTCACCAACAACTCGACCACTGGGAGTCGATACAGCAATGAAATTGGAGATGATTACAGCAAGCAGACATTGATGTCCGCCACGAGTTTCATATGGGGCCTCTTCCAGCAAAACTGCACCGAGGGGGACAGAAAGGACGTGAAAACTGTGAGCTTCTTCATCGAAAACATGGATGGAGTTGCCTATGCTGAGAACAATGAGATTCATCTGAGTGCCAACTATATAGAAGGTTACTCAGGTGACTTGAAGAGGGAATTCAATGGGGTAATATATCATGAAATGACACACATATGGCAGTGGAATGGAGACGGGAAGGCCGATATTGGAGGGTTGATAGAAGGGATAGCAGATTATGTGAGGTTGAAGGCCGATTATGCGCCGAGCCACTGGGTGCAACCTGGGCAGGGTGCCCGGTGGGATCAGGGATACGATGTGACAGCCCGGTTCCTTGATTATTGCGACAGTTTGAGAAATGGATTTGTGGCAGACCTTAACAAGAAGATGAAAAATGCTTATAGTGACAACTACTTTGTTGAGCTGCTAGGGAAGACAGTTGATCAGCTCTGGATTGACTATAAGGCCAAGTACAATAACTAGGCATGCTTGTTTATGGCTAAAATAAATTTTATAAATTGTTGTACTAGTGATTTGCTATCATTATGAAGTCAGTCAGTTACATAAATAAATAAATAAAATGAAATATTATTGAAATATCTCTCACAACCTAGAGATTTTACCTCTGCATGCTTTTTCCACCCAAATAACAGAGCTTGGTTCCCTCCATTAATCACAAATGGTTTGTTTAGTTTCTCAAAATCAGGCTGTTCCAAAGCATCAGCTTGACTGCAATTGTGAGAGTATTTTCCTAATTTTCAAAAAAATAAAAATAATCAAAACCAAGAGGATCCAATTAAATAACAATGACAACAACTTCCAAGTGCACCGACACTTGGGTGACATAGACTTCTCTGTTCTAGGGTGGGTTACTATTGAAATCTGCCATAAAACATACTCGTGACAAAATTCGTACACAAAAGAAATGAAGAAGAACAAAAATGTTCAATAACCGAACCTAACAGCAGATCCTCTCAACAACTAGATTCGATCAAAACCACTGCCTAAGGCTATTTGAGTGATGTGTAGAGAGATCACTGCCAGATTTTATTTTGAGATGTTGCACATATATATGTTTGCAGTTTCGCGACAACAGGCAGCCAGATTTTAAAGCCGGAATGATCCAGCCCAATCTGAAACCCCGGCCAAGTAACCAGTGGACCAGCAATGTAATGCAACAGCATTACCAAAATATATATGTGAAGAATGAACCTACAATGCAGACTACTTTGTTGAATTGCTGGGCAGAGTGGTGCAAGCTCTGTAGTAGCAACTGCTAAGTGTAATGGTCAAACCAAAGATAGATATGCGCTTGTTAAAAGAAAATCTAGCCTACCTCATACAGCAATATTTTTCAGGAATTGGCGGCAGTTTATATTTAAAGAGATATGCTAAGTTCTGCTATCTAACCATTAATTTGTCACTATTTTATAGATGCCGTATACACCACAAGCACTCAAAAGGATTTTACTCATGAAATAGATCAACAAAAAAACATATATCAAGGCATAGAATGATGGGGAAAAATAGTAAACAACTTTGATTCGAATGAGGTAGCCTAAGTAATAATTTGTTCTATTTGTATTTATGGTTTCTGCATCTCTCTGTCGTCAATTTTCTATTAGCCAGTTGGTTTATAAAACTGAATCAATCATCATAAAGCGTGTCCATCACTCCACTTGTTAATAACAGATAAATTCGAACTTTTTTTTTTTTTTTTTCCTCACATGATAGCAGCTTCTTAATTAAATTCTTCTTGACATAGGGGACCGTGATGACGCATCAAAGGTTGGCCCCTTGAGTCTAAGATTATATGTATCAATCTTAATATCCATTTCAGAAATTGGTATGAAGCTTCTGTACGTCTGCAGATAAAGTTGAGCATGATTAAAAACAGATATATGTATTGATTAATTGTCAATATCTAAGAAGGAAAAATGTGTTACTACACTACGTCCCAAAACTAAGCGTCCTTGCTTGACCAGACAATTCTTCATCCAAGTTACTAGGACCTGTTGGAGAACCTAATTAACTGGCCCAATTAATAAGCGACAATCTACAGGTTGGGAACCAAGTGCACCACCGGTCCACAGTTGCCATTGATTGCACCGAGTAATGTGAGAGCAGATGTGGACCAAGTCTACAAATTAAAAAAGAGGAAATATCTCAGTACCTTGCTATGCCTGACTATTGACTTATTTTTTGGTTAGTTGTGCTTTGATTGTCTTTGCCAACGCCAAAATAAAAAATAAAAAAAATATTGACTTATTCCCTCAGCAATGACCGCAATTGTGACCAAATCAACCAATTAAATTTGAGGAAATATCTCGATACCTTCATCATGCCCAATTATTGACATTGATTTCATTCCACATACAAATAAATTATTATTTTGTACCCAAACATACATACATATTGAAGAATCAATTTTAGATTGATTCAATTATAATTTTCAAGTCCAAAAATAAAAATAATATGTTTTATTATGTATATAAAGTAAAATGATATTTTTATTGAATTTTTGGACTATTAAGTTTCTAGAATCGAACCAATCTAAATTTGGATCGATCATTACGAGTATGTGTGTATAATGTTAAATAGGTAACTTAATGATGAATTAATCACTGTCTAATTTAATAATCATATTTTGTGAGGGTTGGTAACTGTCAAAGTGGCCCAATCAACTCATTAAGATGAGAGGAAATATATATCTCAATATTTTGGTCATGCCTAACTATTGACATATTACTTTACCATTTTGGCTGCAAATGGATAACGGTCCATTTTGGCTGCCAATGGATAACGGTCTATTTTCTGGCAATGGGTAGCTCTACTAGCTCAGTGATATATAAATGATACTGCAGCAACAATTTTTTGTACAAAGCCTACCTGCAAGAAAAACAATCGTAAGGGATTATAGAAGCATGGCTTGCATGATGTTTTACGCTCTTGTAATAGTAGCAGCACTGCAAGGAATCCATGCAGTCGAATATAGTGTCACCAACAATGCAGGCCCCGGGAGCCGATACAGCAATGAAATCGGAGATGATTACAGCAGGCAAACAATGACGTCCGCCACGAGTTTCATTTGGGGCCTCTTTCAGCAAAACACCGAGGCAGACAGAAAGGCCGTGCAGCGCGTGAGCTTGTTCATCGAAGCCCTGGATGGAGTTGCATATGCTGTCAACAACGAGATTCATGTCAGCACCGGCTATATAGAAGGTTACTCGGGTGATGTAAAGAGGGAATTCAACGGGGTAATATATCACGAAATGACACACATATGGCAGTGGAATGGAAACGGGCAGGCCGGTGGAGGATTGATAGAAGGGATAGCAGATTATGTGAGGTTGAAGGCTGATTTAGCACCGAGCCATTGGGTGCAACCTGGGCAGGGTGACCGGTGGGATCAGGGATACGATGTGACAGCCCGGTTCCTTGAGTAGTGTGACAGTTTGAGAAATGGGTTCGTGGCCGAACTTAACAAGAAAATGAGAACTGCTTATAGTGACAACTACTTTGTTGAGCTGCTGGGGAAGACAGTTGATCAGCTCTGGAGCGACTACAAGGCGAAGTACAATAACTAGGCATGCCTGTTTAATTATGCCTAAATAAACTTTATAAAGTACAATAACTAGGCATGCTTGTTTATGGCTAAATAAACTTTATAAATTGTTGTACGAGTACGTAGTGATTCGCTATCATTATGAAGTGAGTCCGTTATCTAAATAAAAGAGAATGAAATATTGAAATAGCTCCCACAACCTGTAGCTCGTACCTCTACATGCCTTTTCCCCTCAAACAACAGGGCTGGTTCCCTCCATTATAGTGGTTTGGTTAGTTTATCGAAAGCGGGCAAGTAATTTCTAAGTTTTGAAAGAAAGATAATCAATCAAAACAGAGGATCCAATTAAGTGAATCAGGATTTGAAAATGAAGAGAACATCTGGGCATGCTATATCAATTTCTATTTTCTACTAACTCGGACTATACTAAAATTCCATGGTCGCATAGGACCCTCATTATGTGTTAGCTGGAAAGACTGGAATACAATTATGATCATATACCTCATCCAAGTCAATGTCAAGGAAAAGCATTTTCTAGCACTTGTTAAATTCAATTAAATAAATAAAAATTTATTTCAGGCTAATTCTCATGATCATGACAAATTCTTCCAAGTGCACCGACACATGCTCATAGAATTTCTGTGTTCTGGGGTGGGTTGTGGGGATACCTCAGACCAGAAGATACTCGGTCCAAGCCTAGGAATAGTTTATTTTTTAAGTTACTGTTACAAGAAAAAGAGATCATTGCAAGCTTATACTCATGACTCAAATTATTAAGTGCACCGATCAATTTGGTCTTTGTATTCCTTTTCATTTTTGGGGTTACAGCATACCTCACCTGAGCCTCTTTAGAATCTTCTTAGTATCCCTGTCAGCCCTATGAGGAACCCAAGCAGTTACAGCATCACCAACAACACAGCATTACCATAATTCACTAATGAGATACAAATCAAGTAAATTAATACTACTGAAATCTGCCATAAAGCTCATATAAGAAATTAACAAAAATCGACATCCAGTGAAAATTAGGTTTCCTGCTATTTAAAGCACTGTTAAACGAACTTTAATCTTTAGCATCAAACTGGTCCTGCAGTTTCCCATGTAGCTATAAAAAAAATTGTACCTTAAAACAATCACAAAAAACAATCAAATTCACCATATCATTCTTAAAAGAAAGGAAGAAAAGACTGTAGTATGTACCTTCCAATTCTTTTAAGTTAGTAACTGAAAAGAGGATCAAATAATAAAAAACCATTACATCTAAAGAATTATTAGAATTTTATTAAAGAAAATATCAAGATAGATGGGCGTGTGCAACAAGTAAAACGTAGTTTATTCTGCAATTTTTGTATTTGGGGGTTTTCAATCAAAGGATTGTAAAAAGTCTATTAGTTACATTCAATCACATTCTACACAAACACTTTGGAATGAAATGAAAAGAGATGTAAGAGAAGTCACACAATTCTTCTCAGCGGGTGTCATTCTGGTTCAAATTCTTACTATTTATGACTTAATTTTGCCGCTCTCATGCTCCCGCTCCCGCTCCCGCTCCCGCTCCCGTTTTATGTGACTTAGAATAGGACCTGCAAAAATGATCAATTAAGTCACTGGTAATGTCCTAATTCACACAATCCTTTTCAATGGTGTGCTACTTTAACACGCTCCAACTCTCACATTCCGCGCTTTTGCTTCTTTTTTCACTATTTACAATTTAATTTTACATTTTTTTGTATTCAAATTCCTTACCTTTCCCATGACTTAGGCAATGCCCATTCTAACATTTTCCTTCTGAAGAAGGCTTTTTTTTGTTCTTACAACTATCTTTTTGCCCACAAAGGACAGTCTTATGCGAGAGTTTCGCCCTTTTCACTGCATCTTTTGTGCTTGGGCCACAATTTTTCCTCATTTTTTCTTTTTAAGGAGTATCGCGCTTTTGAGATAATGATATCTTACGAAGGCTTCACTCTAGCTTAATGATTAGACTTCACTCCAAAG